TACAGAAAGGGCTTCTTGTTCCTTCCAAAAGTCTGCTGCTTTAATAATAATGATTTTGTTTTCTGTATATATGCTATCCCTGCTTTGGCAGCCTCAGCTTTGGCCTTGGCAATGGCCTTGAGAAGTGAGCTGGAGTTTGAACTCTGTGACCTTCTTGAAGTTGATTTCATATCAATGTTTATAAAGGACCTTCTTGTCTCAGTATCCTGAATAATCGTATTATTAATATATAAACATCATGATGGGAACAGTCATGTCGTAACAAACACAATCTGGTGGTAACAGTAATGTAGTAACATCCACAACATGATGGGAATAGTCATTTAGTAACATACATAACTTCTTTTGAACAGTCATGTAGTAACAAACACAACATGATGGTAACAGTCATGTAATAACAGACTCAACATCATGGGAACAGACATGTATTGGCATACATAACATCATGGGAACAGGCATTCAAATTCCATTATAGAAAATATAATGAATGTTTATTGTAAGTAAGTAATTTACATTTTTTTTTTTTGCCCTTTGCATTGGTATATATTGGCTGTTTTAATGACAGGACGGAAACTGGTAGAATATTCAATGACACATTTATTAGCATCAGTATAAAGAACTCTACGATCAGTGGGTGACACAATTAAGAATAATTAATCTATGATATGAAGTGAAAGGTATATTGGTGTACATACACTTGTAGTTATGGAGATGGCCAGACTAGGATTTTTCTTTTGTAATTAAGTTCTATTCAAATCCCAATTTTAGTATGACTTTTTATTTATTCTATTTGCCTTTCTTCTTTCTCTTTCTATGTCTTATTTATTGTATACAAGATACTAATTTTACTCAAAAAATTGAAGAAATAATTAGGACAGAGTGGGGATATGATTGTAACTTAAACTCTCTGATGTCGAATTCAAGGGGGGTTGCAATATTATTTAATAATAATTTTGAGGAAAAGGTTTTAAAGGTTAAAAAGGATTTGACTCGGAATTTCATAGCATTAGATTTAGAAATAAGAGGGAAAACAATTACATTGGTGAATATCTATGGGCCAAATTAAGATACTCCATCCTTTTAGTTACTGTTAAAAACATGTTTTATAATATGTGGAGATTATCTTAGTATTAAACAGTGAAATTGATTATGATAATATCTTACAAATAATTGAAAAGTTAGGAATGGTGGATGTTTGTGGGGAACAGAATCCTGATAATAAAATATATACATGGAGAAAAAGGATCCAATTAAGCGAGCCCGATTAGAAAACTTATTACCTAGTTTATATAAAACAAATATTGTGCCAGGATACAGATCTGACCGTTCTATACCATTCATTATATTAAAATTTAACGAATTTAAGAAAGGGAAAAGGACTATGGAAGTTTAACAATTCTTTATTGTATGATTTAGACTATCTTGAAATTATAAACAAAACTATTGTATAATCCACACAATATATCCAATATTCTGGACTGGGAGATCCAATTCCTTATAGATGAAAACAGTATTAATAAAAAAAATAAGAGGGAAAACTATTTTATAAGCTTCATATAAGAAAAAAACTGCAGAACCGTTTAGAAAACAATTTAAAAGGTATTATAAAACATTTAGAATCGGTTGAAAATATTGATTTTGTAACGGCACAATTTTTTAAGGACTTTCGTATTTCCCGGCATGAGAACAGGTTGTTGAACACTAGGGCCAAAAGTACTGCCAAACTAGGGGTTAAGAAAACAAAGTTTGTTAGGGAGTAGATAAAAATAATAAAATAAACTCCCAAATGTTGAAATGGGAACAGCAGATCAAATTTCTTCCATGTCACGTGACCTAGCAGAAGACACGGATGATGAACCCTTCTGCAGGGGCCGCCCACATTAGTCGCCTATTACGACATACAGGAAGATACAACAGACCTATTCCTCACCCGAACATGCAGTGGGTTAAAGATGATGGTCTCTCCAACTGATTCGACTATATGCAAATTAAGCACATATACAGCTGGTCACATTCCATTGGATACATATAGGTTAACTAACATTGATCAAACATGTAGGAGGAGTTGAATATGCTTTTGTACTGGAACGAAATGTAATCTGTTTATCAAACAGACCGTGTAATAGCATGCCAAGCCAAAATAGTCCACAGATTGAGGTTTTAAGACAGCTACGTACGATGTGAAATGTGTTAAGTGAAACAATATAATTGTAATAACTGTTTAGTATCAAGTTTCATCATTGGAATGCTATTCATTGGTGGTTACGTTGGATACTTATCCTTACCTCGTTGATATAGAACAAAACATTACACTATTTTCTTTTATTTTCATTGATCAGATAGTGTCAAAAAATTGTTTTAACCTATCTAAAAATTCGTCAGTAGTTATCAGTCTTATATCGGTGTCCGATTGAATGGCAATGGATTCTATCTGGAATATGGCAACAGTTTGTGGAATAATGTTATTCTTCTTGTGTGAATGCTTTGGATCAGGTAAGTTAGACTCTTTAATAAGTATATGTTTATTTCCTTTGTCATGTTTTCGTTGCCCTTGCTCCCTGTCGCCCTTTGAACAGGGAAACAGGATAGCAAAAATTGTTATGTTTGCCTAACGGGAAATCATACTCCAGTCAATTTAGATACTGAAGTTTCAAGGATGGTAATCATGATATGATGACGATTTTTTCAACTATTCGTTCTTTAGAATGAATTGCTCGTTCTTCACAGTAAATCGCTTCTTTCTTTACAGTGAATTGCTTTTTCTTTACAGTAAGTTGCTCGTTCTTTACAGGAAATTGCTCTTTTTTTTACAGTAGGTTGCTCGTATTTACAATAAATCGCTCTTTCTTTACAGTAAATTGCTCGTTCTTCACAGTAAATCGCTCTTTTTTTTTTTACAGTAAGTTGCTCTTTTTTTTACAGTAGGTTACACGTATTTACACTAAATCGCTCTTTCTTTACAGTAAATCGCTCTTTCCTTACAGTAAATTGCTTTTACTTTACAGTTAATTGCTCTTCTTTACAGTAAATCGTTCTTTCTTTACAGTAAATCGTTCTTTCTTTACAGTAAGTCGTTCTTTCTTTACAATCAATCTCTCTTTCTTTACAGTGAATAGCTCTTTCTTTACAGTATCTTGTTCGCTCTTTACAGTAAATCGCTCTTTCTTTACAGTAAATCGTCTATTTTTATGGTAAATTACTCTTACTTTACAGTAAACTGCTCGTTCCATACAGTAGCGTATTTTCCTTTCAAAGGTCTTCTCTCGCCTTTTTTGTCAGTCAATTTACATTTATAATTATACAGTCTGTCTTTAACTCAATCTCTCTTCCATTACAGTACGGCATTCTGCCTTCACAGTTCTATCACTCTACCTACACAGTCTTTTCACTCTATGTTTACCGTCCATCGCTCCCCCTTCACTTTTCTGCACAGTTCTATACCTATATGCTTCACTTTTGACTTTTATCTCGGTGAATATGTGGTTATATGGACCTAAAAGTGATGTTAACCTCAGCTTCGTCGCGATCAATATCTCTGTTGCAGTTTCATATAACTACTTGTCCACCTTTTACCATTACTGATAAATATTTCTACGTTGGTACTGTAATGAACCTGTTCCGAGATAATGTTATCAACCCAGTGTACTAGCTCATGCGGCCGAAACGGCCTCAAGCAATAAAACAAGTGCCGACAACTACGTTTGGTTATAATTTTGATCTCAATCGTAGTCCATTTAGTTCAGACGTCTGTTTTCTGTCACATACATTTTTTTGAGCGGCGAATGTGCTACAATTTTCACATTATGCACGTTTAATTCTGCAATCTGCTTAAGGTATTGCTGTTTCCAAAAAAAAAATTGAATCAAGTTCACGAAAATAACAGATGGAAATCGTGGTATATTGCAATTTTGTTTGCACGTCAGTCTATCTTGTTGAAATGTTTTAATATATTTCTACAAATGGGCTGAATTATTTTGATGTAAATGAGAATGCTACGACATTTAAACGATCATTTTCAATTTCAAATAATTTCATTGTTAAAAGACAACTGGATTGGGCAACAGACAAATAATATTTAGGCTATCTCCAATTATTATCATTAATATTTATTTAATGTCAATTTTTTATTAGTATAAATAACGATTATAAATAATAATGCTCTAACAATGAAATTTACTTATTTTTACTATTTTCAAATACGGCAATGTAAGATGTTTATTGCTACATAAATGGCAAGTTATCATTTATAAACGAATAAATAACACTTTTCGTTTTACTATTTGGGACAGATATATAGCGATTACAATTTTACAATAATTTGACCTGAGTTGTAATCAGTGAATTATAATAGATATATGAATAGTAATGAATGAATATTTAAGTGATGTCAAACTTGAGACATTAAAACAAAATCAAACATAACATGGAAATCTATTTTAAAAGTAAATACAAAGTATAAGTAAAGTTTCTGAAATAACTGATGACTTAACATAATAAAAGCAAAATATACAAGAAATATATATTTTTAACGATAAGAAAATATTAAGAAATAATGTTTAGATTCAATAAGAGGTAATAAGACATATACATTGTCTTACATCGTACATAAAATCTTGCTTTGTTTGTTGTGATGATGAAAACATGAGCCACATTTGTTCAGAATGAGAAAAAAACCAACAACCTATACCCCAATGGTTTAGCAATGCTATGAGTGTGTCAGTTTCAGTTTCACTAGTAATTGGTAATGTTCTGATTGCACCTTTGATGCTTTATTATTTTTTTTAGAGATAAAAAGCGTTCATTACCGTATAGATGAACGGTACCAAGATAGAATACCACAAACAGGTATTCTATGGACGAAAAGTGACATAGAAGTCCGATGGTGTTTGTATGTGTGTCTGAGGGATGTTGATTGTGCCTCTATCTTCTTCGAGCAAAACACCTGTCATGGATATTCTGTTAAGCTTCACGATATGATATCGACTAGAAATGTTACTGGTATGAAGTACTACGAACTAGCAGGTATGTATTGCTCGAAAAGGTAAATACGAATTTGATGTTTAGCAGGTACTGTTAGTGTTGTAGAATGAACATGGAAATAACAATGAAAATGATTTATCTCATTTCTGGGAAATGTTGAAAAAAATCATACTGAAAAATCACAAAATTTTCGTGGTTTTTCTATTTGGTGATTTCGCATGTAATCTTCCTTCACGAATTTATAAGTACACGAACAAATTACAAGTTTGACATAAAGTAATTATCCGTGAAAGTGGGACACTCGTAATCCAAGAACTCATGTACCCACGAAATGGTGTTTTCTTTAGGGAAAACACGAAATATCTTATTTCACAGAACTCAGGAGTGACATTGAAACTTAAGCGAACAGAAAAGAGGTCTTACTCGGAGGAGAATTTATCTCGGCTTATGCTCTTGGCTTATGCTCCGCAATTTCAATTATCCAATTGTTAATAATATCACATGTTTTTCGGTTTTATTTTAAATTAAGGATTTGGCGTAGAAAGATCACGCTTTTCACTACTGCTTTCTGACAATTCAGCACCAGAATACACCCACGAATCTGCAAATTATATCGTCAAATGTTAATGCTATTCAGGTCCAGTTGGGAATTTGGCTGCCGGAAAAACGGCCATCCAATCCTCATTTTACCGCCCTGGCAGAGCCTTCGGACCAGAATATGCTGTCGACTCGCGTCGGTACCCATTCCAAAATGAACTTGACCCTGGTCTAAAGTCGTGCTCTCACACTGCTTACCTTGGTGAGGATGATGAAGATCACTCCCCGTTCTGGCAGGTTGACCTTGGATCACGACATCTGGTAGTGTCTGTCTCTTTCCTTAGCAGGATCGATTGTTGTGGTAAGTTTAGTTTGGTTGTATAGGGTTTTACGTCCCATCAACATCACATGACGTGCTCCTATGTGTTTAATGTATGAATTATTGTGTGTATGTGTGCCGGAGGCAGGGTATGTTTTTTCCCCTTGTTTGTGGTAGCGCAGATCTGATGCCGATTTTATAGTGCTACCTCACTGAAATACTATGCCGAAGCGTCTACCATAATATTTCGCCCGATCATACTATACTGAAAATGGGTTAACCAGTTGCTGTCATTAACTTAAATGCTAACCGTTTAGCTGGGAATAACAGCTACCATTTGTTACTCACTGCCTTTCTCTCCTGGGCGAACTTTCAGCATTAAAACTAAAAGTGATACATTTGCAAGAACGGCGCTAGAAATGAGTGCATCAGATTTACTTTGGTCGCTTTTGTGTCGCCAAGCATCCTCAATATCCAGGGTTTACGCTCATTGTCGCTCTTTACACCCTGGAATATGTCATAGCAAAAATAAAGGCACGCGGGTAGCTATTTAATTGATGTCAGGTAAAAAACCCTGACCTATCACTAGGCTGATACTTGTCCTTTGAAGATTACAAAGGAGCGACGCCCGACTTCAAAGCCTGTCATTTTTTACCGTTACGCGACCGCAATATTCATTTGATGTACATCAAAGGACCAAACTTGTTTTCTTGTCTCATCCACAAGGTGCTGCACATTAAGCGTTCGATTTTGCTATGACATATTCCAAGGGTGCAGAGAGCGAAAGTGAGCGTAACCCCTGGATTTTGAGGTCTCCAAGTAGAAGGCAAAATCGCAATGCCTACAGTCTTTTTTCCATTAGTCGCCTCTTACGATCATGTAATGGGTAACAGCAGGTGTATTGTTTTATCAATACAGGGATTGTTGTGATAAGTGACTAATATCTTAATCAAATTCTATATAATTGTGCTATTGTCCAAAGCCAAAATGTGAACCGCGGTGAAATCCGAGGTCAATACATTCCCATAACCCATAATACTGCATATTCACCAAGTTAAAAGTCCATAATTTTAAATCATGTATTCATTTGAAAAAAAGTCGTATTATAACACAGAAAAGAAATTGAATTAGAAATATGAAGAATTTGATAATCATCGTTTTCGGCTATATTCGTTGTTTATGGGACTTATGGCATATTGTTTTATAATATGATTAAAGGTTTTTCAGCCAATTAGAATCAGTTTATTCATTAGTAATACAATAAACTACCTTATTAGTAGTTAACTGTATCGCTTCTTGCAATGCCATTTTCTGCAGTTATGCATGGTTACATAAAAATGTGTTTCTATGAGAGATGAAGATAGTTGGACAATATCAGAGACGTGACCTTCGTTTCCTCTACTATATTTTAGGTGAACGCAACCAGCGCCTGAACATCACCGTAGCAGAAACAGCCAATGGACCGCGAGCTTTGTGTATGTATTACCCAGGACCTGCCTTCGTCGGAGAGATGAAAACATTTTTCTGTGAGAAACCATTATTTGGTCAGTTTGTCAGAATCTCACGAGACGAGATTGTTCTGAATTCATGTGAGATCGAGGTGTACGGTTACCCACTGAACTAATATCTATTTTGATGATTAATTCATTTGAACAAGTAGACTTGAACAAGTAGACTATGGTTACGATTTGATACAAGTGTACATAGTCGATATCGGAAGAGATCCTTCTGACTACACGTGTGATGTAGGTGTGCGATATTCCACAGATCCCACATGCATGGGTGTGGGGAAAGAATAGACCTGTTATATCCCACTGCATGATCGTTAGAGGCGAACAATGTGTCCCCTCTGAAGAATCGGGGTTGGTTTTGTCCGTGTCGTTTATTGACATTGACAACAACCCAAGAATAGACCTGGTATATGTAACGGCATGTGTTTCGTTTCCTCCTACGAAGAGGACAAGGAAGATACCACAATAGATACCCTGCCTCAATTGCAACAATTGGGATCTTTTTCATTTCCTTTCTTTCCTGTCTGCTTTCTTTACTGTTTTCTTTCTCTTTCCAGTAGTGTCTCCCTAGGCAACCGTCCTAATTTGACCGAAGTGTTTTAGAATAAAACAAAAACGAACTAAGAAATCCACAGAGCTTACCATTTTGTTATGCAATGCATCTGCTTTCAAAAATGCTAAAATAATCTCTAGAGCTATGAAGTAAGACAACACCTTTTGAAAGAAAATATAGTTATGAGGATAAAATATCGTGATTGTGTCGCAGTGCCCGATAAGTGCAATTATACAAATTAAACAAGGTTTCATAAGTGATACATATCTCTCGCATACGCATGGTGTTTGATACGGGTATAATAAAGGTAATTGAAAAACTCACTAGTTGATATTCCAGCTGCATTCTTTTGCAATATAAAATAGCATTCCGCTTGTATAGAAATGTCTGTTATGATTTAAAGTTTAAATTCAACACTTTTCAAATGAATAATTATGTATTACAATGAAGGATTACCAAATTTTGTATACAAAATTAAAAAGTATCAAATATAATTCCGATAGTCGGGAGTCGTTTTTATTAAAATCAAGGACAAACTGAGACGGGAACACCCATCTAAGCTGGCTGGTTTTTGCCATTTTTGTTTCATTATTTTTTGCCCCGTAAAGACAAGAATAAAAAACATCATTCAAACAAACACTAATTATTGTTCTTTCTTGTTTTCGTCCCGAAAAGACAAATCTATGCGAATTAAACGTTGCTATATCTCATCGTTTAGGGCGAAAAGATGAAAAAACGAAGTGCCACAAATAATCCAACTTAACCATCCACCGCTTAAATGACGGCTGCTGCTTGGAGACATACTTGTATTCCGTCATATAGGACAGAGATAACATCTGTTTCGCTTATCTAAACTACAGCTGATCAAGCATGAAATTGAAATGTTTTTTTATAACGTTATGCTTTTTAATCAATAATGTTTTACTTTTGTTTTTTAGATTAGTTTGTTGGTAATAACGCCCTGAACATGTTTTAAAGACGAGACATAGCCGCTAGGCTATCAATAGTAGTGATAACCTTCATTAACTATTGTTTAAATAATTCTACCATATATATATGCTTTCATTAACTCCGACTTACTCTGCTTTCTTCGATCTGTTTTTGAAACAAGACTAAAAGGGACGACCTGCTACTCTACCATAGGCGTATAAAATTTGATTTTTCCGACCGAGAATTTTCCTTTTCTTGATAGCAACAGCCCAACATTGTGTTAACCCGTCATATGTGATTCGATATCCAACAACTTACTCCGAATATAAAGATTTATGTGATAGATGCCGACTGCAGACATACAAACTTGCAGCATTGTGTTTCCAAGGATACAGGTTGATCAAGAAAGGACAAATTTTATGTTCGTCATCATGATCTCATCGGCGTTTATGCTTCTCTTTTTGTGTAATGACGTTTTTTTATACTGCTCATTAGTGCGTGTTATTGTTTCGTTGTCAATAAAGCAGTATGCGATAATAGAACATGGTAAATTTATTACTTAGATTTGGCCTAGATTTATATAGCGGGTGTCGTCGATAAAGCAGAAGACGCTTGCCAATCCGGAACATCTGGTCTTATCAAAGTATTTCCGCGAGAGTATTCATGTATATCGTATCTTTGTTCCTTTTATGTAATAAAAATGTATGTTGATTTCATTCGCAAATTCTTAAAATTGCTTTCGATCTGAACTGTAAATAGGATTTTCTCTGCCACCAATACGAATGTTAATCACTAGCTAAAATAAACAGCATAACATTGAAACAAAGAAGAGTTGAAACTATATTCCTAAGTTGTTTTTTTTTTTTTTTTTAAAGAAGCAAAATTATTTATTACAGCAAATATTAAATATTTTATATTACATTGATGCCTCCAACACTTCGTTGTACGATACCTACAGACGGTTGGCACACGCCAAATCTGATAAAATGAATAAGAAAAGAAATCAAATGTAGTTATATGTTTTGTTAAGAATTCTGTGATGGTTGATAATTGAAGGTGACCAAAATAAGATTCCTTTTCGTTTGAATATTGAAGCCTTCTTTCATCGGTTCCCTTATCCTATTGTGTCAACCTTCTAATGCCATGCGACTCGCCTCCCTTTACACGAAAAATATTCCAATTTACTCACTGTTTATTCAGAAGATATTTAGAAATACAAATCAAACTGTAAAATACAGGTATACATCAGTTTCTCTACATAGAAACTGATATATTCTGTCAAAGGTTTTATCAAAGTTAGATAACTGTATGACATTTAAAAAGGTGTTGCGAAAATGATAAGGTCTTTCACTATTTCAATACCTGATATGAGCCTACCTAGCGATGGAAATAGTTCGGAAAATAAAAGCAATTTCATTCTAGTAAGCAGCTTATTTAAACTTTCCAGCTTAAGGCTGGCCGTGTAAATTGAAGTAATGTCTGTTTAATCAGAGCGACAGTCTCATATGTTTCTTATCAAAAAAGCTACCTGCAACCAAACGAAGGTAAATGAACGACAAAAGAACAGCAGTTAGTATTAAACGAAACACAAGGTTGGGCAAGACAGCATTCGGAAGAAAGCGATCAAAATTAATGAATACAAATTACTACTAAATAATTTGCCCGAATTTTTCGTAAAAGGATTCCCACTCGTTCGAAATGTAACCTATTGGTAGGATACAAATCAAGTCAATTTTGTTTATTATAGTGTCATATATCACAATTACATCGTACAAGTATATAGTTACACAGTATAAAAACATATAGTTACATAACAGGGATCAATCATCTAAATGTAAAAATATATAGACCATATCATAATTAGAACAGCTATTATACATAATAAATTTATAAATTAAAACAAACTATCACATGTGCGTATCCAGAGAGCAGGTGATTGGGACAGCCCTTACCTAACAAATTCCTGGATTTTGTTCTTACATATTAAATACTATAATAGTTAAAAGGTTTCTTTTACATTTACTGCCTTAAAATATGATGTCTTTAAAAAAACCCAATAACAATGGTGATAACTAAAATGAATAATTTCCTAGTTCTACATTATAGTGAAATTTAGGTTTCCAAGGGTTGGGGAACCCCCTACCACCGAGGTCTGCTAAATTTTACACTAACTAGTAGTTAATTATAATTTAAACGGAAGATTATTTTCATAAAAACTATTTTTGATTGACCCCTGGTAACATATTTAACAAATGCATAAAATAGAAAATGTAATTGTATATGATATTCAACCTAAAATGGCTTTACAAGACACTGTTTAAAATTACAATTAATCACATAGACTGCTACGTCTTCTGTACATTTTATATAAGTGGTTTGCAAGTGGAATTTGTAATTCTTCGGAAGACATTTTAAAACTAGGCTTGTCAGTGTTATTAAGACTTGCAAAATCATGTCTTATATTATTTGCTACATTAAATAAGGATGATCTTATTTCATTATATACATCACATTCAATTAAAAAGTGTAATTCATCCTCTATACAGTTATTTACATTTGTACATATCTTACACAAGCGTTCCTCTAGTGGAATCACAGATTTGGCGTATCTGCCAGTGTCCACTGTTAGAGGTAGAGAGCCACATCTAAAATCAAAAAGTACTCTTCGTTTGCTCTTTTGTCTTACAAGCTTGACATATGAATCTGGTATTAAATTTGATTTAAAAGTTCTGTAAGTTCTCAACGTGTTACCATTTATATTACCACTATCATTCCATATAGACTCGTACCATTCATCAGCATCTGAAATGATAAGTTTTTCTTTCACTCGTCTTATCTTGTGTTTAACAGAAAACGTTGAGTTTACAATTTCATTCAAATTTTTGTCATCAATTTTTTTTTTAAATTCTAGAATCCCAAGATTTCTTCAGACTAACGGACCATATATGCACCTTTTTCATGAGTCTGTTATCATCACAATACTTTATTCTTAAAAATAAACGTGTCGTTTCTAAGACTTGACATACATTGCAAGAGTGCCATCCCATATCACCTCTGAGTGCTAAGTTACTTGCTCGACGGGAGGCTCCTAGGAAATATCTACTTGCCTTGTGTAGTATGACAGAAACCTCTCGGTATTTATTTATACCCCATAATCCACATCCATAAAAAAGAACCGGCTCAGTTAAAGTTTTATATAACTTATTAAATACTTCATAGGACATTTCACCGGCATGTGAATATTTTATATATAAAGTTGTAAGTGCTCTACTAGCAGATACATATCATAAAATCATAATTAATTTAACAAATCAATCACCTTTTTATCTCTTTACCTAATCCAGATGGTTGTTTTCTGAAAAAGAAATATGGAGCTTTTTAATTTTCCGTGGAATAGGAAAGTAGATAAAGCTAAGAGAGATTTCATCGTTAAAGATTATTTAAAAGGGGTTTAAAATGTTACATGTACAGTCGTTTATTGACTCGTTATATTTAACGTAGGTTAGGAGGTTATATATGAATTCTGGTAAATGGCAAGTGATTTTAAAATTATATTGTGATAAAAACATTCTGGCAAATTGTGGAACTGATTATATTTCAAAATGTCAAAATAAAACTAAAAATCTATTT